TTTAAATGAGCAACCAGAGTACCAATAAAAGCTTGCTCTGTATATCCCACTTCGTAACAAAGCTTGTTGCTGCAGTTCGTAAGCACATATTCATATGAAGCGTTCGTTTTCCTTACCTTTCAGTTAGGTTTAGGTTATCTTTCAGGTACGCCTGGTTTATGCAGCTGTATACGAAGTGTGTCTGAACTTGGTGCGTCACGCCTGTGGATGTCCCTTTCCACATCTTTAGCGTGTGCTTTTGTTAGAACTGGGATTTGAACGTGTTTCGTGAGACGCAGCACGCCCGTGTTGGCAATACCGGTTTAAGGTATTGTTCTTACGGCGGCCGGGGGGTGCTTGCGGGTGTGTTGCAAACTTCTCCCCTTACCTCCTGGAGCCCTCTTGGCAGCCAGATCTGCAGACTGCTCTTTGCAAGGGCTCTGACCGGTTTGCAACACGGACCTGCAAAAGATTGCTCTTTCTCAAGGGGAGCTTTGAGGGGGGCACGTGCTCTGGCACCTGGGACACGCAGGGGGAAATACCTTTGCCTGGTGGTGCTGCTGAAGATATTGTCGGAGCATGGCCGCACTCCGATGAATTCTGCTGGAGCTGATGGTTTGGAAATGTGGTGTAAATTTTAAACTGGTAGAAATGAAAAATCTCATTTTGTTGCCACTGTCTGTATTTCATGAGAAAGCGAGTAACTCAAAGGATTAAAACCAAGAAGGGAGGCTGAACTTGGTTACCTCTAGCAGCCTTCCTCGGGAGCAGTAACTACTGAACCTTTACGTGTGTTTGCTTCAGGTTTTAGGATTGCTTTAAAAATGTTGAGGTTACCTACTGCTGTGACTGCACTTACCGGGCAGTTGCTGGGCTCCCTGTTCCTCTTTTCTGTGCTGGTTTACAGATGCAGATTTCCTCTTAGGTTTCCATTATACTTGATTTTTTTGTGTAAGTTCCATTTTGCCTTTTCCCTTAAAGTAGAAATAAATTTCAGAAGTTTAGAATTCACTATTGCTTTCTTGTGTATACCAGGAAAATTTATTAACATTTTGAAAACTCAGGAGCTTATGAAAGGAGTTTAATTTTCTTGTAAACTAGAGGTTGCTCCTTCCTTGAAAGGAAGTACTCTATTCTGCTCGCTTCTTCCCTGTCTCCTTTCTGCAAGCCCATGCCCCTTCCCATCCTTTATCTGAGGTGTGACTGCAGAACAGAGTGTGTCCTTCTACACTGTAAGGTATTGTCGAAGGAAATGAGAAGCGTTTAGTTGTTGCTAAAATTTTGTTTAATCGGTCCCTATCGCTTTCTTCTTTGAAATTCCTTGAAATGGAATGAGGAGGAGAGTAGTTACTTGTGCTGGGGTGGCAGCAGCAGGAGTGAAAAAGCTGCATTTTAAGAAATACGGGAAGGACAGAAACTTAAACACGCATTAGGTGTGTTACAATTTTTTTTAATGTTTATAAATACTAGAGGGCACCCATGGTGCAGCTGGAGGAACAGGGCAGTCTGTGTGTTTGGAAATGAGTTTTGCTGATGGGAGTCACTTGTCCTTACAGTTGTCTGGAGTTATTTTCGGATTACATGAAAGGGGAGTGTGGTGCAAGTTTCCCTGCTTTTATCATTCAGTTGAGAGAATCGTGAGCAGTCCTACGCTGTGTTTACGATGCAATGATAAATCCTAAAGTCACCGACACATTTCTAAAAAGTGACGTGCCGACATCTCATGATGTTTCTTCTGGTGGTTGCAGAGAAGGAGCAGCTGGGGAAAACACCGTGTTCTCTACTCGGTGGTTTGAGAGTTAAAAGAACAAGTTGAGTCTTGTTCTCTCAGTAGGAAGAAGACAATAAAAACCCAGAGGTAGCTTAGCATTTGGATTAAAATGCTTTCTTCGGAGTTTAACCTTTTTTGAAAGGTTTGGGTAGAAATGACTTGCTGCTGAAAAATATTGAAACTAGAATGGGATACCTTGTAGAGAAAATAAGCAATTAAATGGTCTTGCTTGGATAGACTGTGCAAGATACAGAGTTTGTAGGCATGGACGGTGTGCCAAATATTGAAGATCTGGGGAAAACAAAAGTTTGGCTTTTCTGTACTGAAAAGTTCTGATACTTGAAGCCAGTGTTTTGAACAAATATTTGACTGTCGGGAAAGGAAGGGGTTTTTTTCCTTCCTTGTGCTAAAGGCAGACTTCTTGGACACAAGGAGGAAAATCTTTACAGTGAGGGTGGTGAGGCACTGGAAGAGGTTGCCCAGAGAAGTTGTGGATGCCCCATCCCTGGAAGCGTTCAAGGTTGGGTTGGACGGGGCTTTGAGCAACCTGAAAGATGCTGAAAAGATGTCTGTGCTCCTGGCAGGAGGGGCGGGTTAGATGATCTTCGAAAACCCTGTGATCTTCGAAAAATTCTGTGATTCTAGGCTCTGCATCTGTAATGAATCCTGCGAAGCAGGGTGGGTACAAGTCCTGCGTGTCCCTGACGCTTCTTGTGCAGCTGTGTCACCTGCCCTAGGGACAGCCCAGGTACTGGCGTCCGTACGTCCAGGCAGGGCTGAGGTGCGCCTACCTCTGCAGGACTGCGGAGCACGCGGCGTCGTGCTCGGTGCAGGTGAACGAGCTCGTCTCGCCCCTAGTTTGAAAGCTAATCTGAAGACTTTTGCTTTTGAATTAGTAGGAGGAAGGCTGTTGCGAGTTGGAAGAGGAGGTTAGGGTGGGGAAGTTATCCAAGTGTATACTTACAGTGAAAGAAAAACGGCAATTTAATTGAGCAACGTTCATCCGTAAATAGGTTTTGTTTAGCTGCGGCTGCAAACAGCGTGCACACACGCTCACGTGGTGCCTTCAGCCTTGGCGGAGGATCTGGGCTGGTTCAGCAGCGGCGACCTCTGTGCTGGAGCCCCTGGTGTGCCTGGAGCCCCTGGTGTGCCTGGAGCCCCTGGTGTGCCTGGAGCCCGTGGTGTGCCTGGAGCCCCTGGTTTGCCTGCAGCCCCTGGTGTGCCTGCAGCCCCTGGTGTGCCTGCAGCCCCTGGTGTGCCTGGCTCAAGAGGCGTGTTACTGGCACGTGTCGTCCTAAAATTTGACCTGTGCTAGTTTGGGACGTTGATTCAACCTCTGTACGTGAGCATGGCTTTGGTTTACGTTCCTTTGTGCTTGTATAGACAATATGCAGGTGTGTGCTTAAGTGTTTCAGTTCAGCTGGAAAATGCCCCGTGCCGGCTCTTGCTCAGGGCTTGCAGTCCGCAGCAGCAGCGAGCCGAGGAGCCGGGAGCGTTTCTGCTGCTGTACAACTTGCGCGTCTGAGCACGGCTTCAGGTTCGACTGAGAGCCCCTGAAGCAGCCATGCTTCTGCTCCGAGGTCTGCTCAGACGCCGGGCCTGCCCTCCATCTTGTGCCTGTACAGGCTTTTCCAAAGGGATTGCATTTGTTTGCTTGTTTATTTATTTTTCTTTGTAGGCGGCTGCCGTGTTTAAGTCGTGGATTGATCTTATTTTCTACTGATCCCAGCGCAACAGCAGGATTACTTTTAGTCAACAGCAACTTTGAGTGTTAGTTAAATAGCTGAAAGTAGTTGTTCTCTTATCTGTGGTGGGGTTTGTTTTAGTTTGGTGGTGGGTTTTTTTAAGAATTTGGAAGTAATTCTGCTTTTCAGGTATGGGGTAAAATTGATGTTGCTTTCATTATAATGCCTGCTTTCTCTGTAATCTGTCCAGTTACCCAAATCTGAACCTCGGGTTTAATCTCCTATGTACAGACCTACTTCACGGTACGTTTCTGAGTAACCCCATCTTCCTTAAGTTAAAAAGTGAACGGTGAGCGCAACTTTTCTGATTGTCTGTCTTAAACCGGCGTACGCTGCAGGCTGGGAGCTCTTAAATCATTTATGCGTGCTCCGTCTTCATCCAGCAGCCTATTTACCCTTTTACGCCGTCGCCTTAAATTTGCACGTCTGCCGGAGTACAGAGTTATCAACACTTCTGATGTATAGGAGACACCGACTAATCTGATGATTCTTGTTTGTTCTGTGGTAATTTCAAACAGATGCAAGCACTTGTTAATCTTGCAGTTCCTTTAGTTTTATTCCAACTTCAGCAGGCAAGGCTCATTTATTTTGTTAATTTGCTATGAATGTACTGTTGTTTCCTGTCTGAATCGCATACATCTCATTCAGCCTGAAGATTTAATTTGGAGATTGTACGCTTGACATCTAAGGCGCTGAAGCAGGGCTCGAAATTCCCCATGCCATATGTAGATGCCACGCGGCAGGTGTTTCCTGGGTGAAGCTGGTATTTTCAAATACAGCTGCTAAATAGGGCGCGCTGTTCTTCCTGCTGTCTTCTGAACTTCTGAACAATCTTCCTTGGATCGTTCAAGCCAAGGATGACTTTTGGGCTTGTTCTCAGCAAGCGCATAACCTTTTTCTTTTCGTCCGGTAGGAGCAATGCGTGCGCGGCAGGTGCGGTGGCCCGGAACTTCGCTCTTAGTAGTGTTTACGAATACCCTCCATGGCACGGAGAGCCCTCGGCAGTCGCTCAATAAGCGAGAAGTGAGAGCTGTGGGCACCTCTTGAGCTCTTCTGTCCCGGCCAGCATCAGAACCTCAGTATTTGAAGGGCAAGAATTTGTGCTGGAAATGCTGGGTGGTTTTAGAGGTGTCCTCACAGCTCAGGTGGATGTTGTGAAAATGTTCTGATCGGAACAGTTTTTCTCTGCTAATATTTTTCTTGCAAGTGGCTCTCGTAGCGAGAGGCTGGAGAATGTAAATGGTATGTGTGTGCTTATGTGTGTGGGGTTCATAAAGCGTTTAAGAATGTAAGAGGATTGCTGAGATTGAATCATTATCTCAGTTGCTGTATGGCTTTCACCTTAGGAGTATGTAAATATTTTGATTATAAAGCATGTATCAGTTTGTGTTTAATGATTGATTCATGTTTAGAAGGGAGACGCTTATGGTTTATGTTTGCATTTTATACTTATTTTAATCATGCTTTGTTTTTGTTTTTGTTTTTTGTTTTTTTTTTAATTGCAGCAGCTGTTGCCGGGTAAAAAGTTTTGGGAATCTGATGATTCCAGCAAAGATGGACCAAAAGGGATATTTCTGGGAGATCAGTGGAGAGACAGTGCTTGGGGAACATCAGGTAGCTCAATTCTTTACTTAATTTAGTTGGGGTTGAATACAGAAATGTGCAACTCATCTACTCAAAATTGCTGGCCAGTCTGGTTGACACAGCTTTTAAAAGATTTTTTTTTTTTTTTAAAAACATCTGTTTTACATAATAGAACTAATAGGAAACCCCATATTGCTTTGTGATAGAGTTAAAAGATATCCATAGTTATAAAAAGATTGTCTAATGTGAACGTGTGTACCCTTATGTTTATCTGCTTAAAAACTTTAGGTTGCCATTAAAATTTCAATTTAAACTTTCTGATGTATTTTCTGCCTTGGGATGGATTACTTGAAGTTTGAACGAAGATACTAGAGAACAAGATTAGTTAGGGAGAAAAAAAACCCCAGCAACCCCACAATTTTTAAATACTAAACCAACCAACCAAAACCCAGCAACATTCAGTTTAAAAAAGGAAAAAAAGTGATGTTTTGAATTAGTAGTGTTGAAGTTTACCTGCCAAGAATTTTGTTCTTGGATCAGAGACTGTCCCTTATTTTGAATTAAAGGGGAGAGTGTTCAGGTTGGTTTTAGTTAAATGGCAAAAAATCACATGCATGTGCTGAATTTGAAATGCTAACCTTTTACTTTTTATTTTCTGTGCTTTCTGTATGTAATGAATACGCTCCTTAAACACCGCTGAGTATCTCGTGCAGTTTCCAAACAACTGCGCGGAACTGCAGCTCCAGGGGAGATGTGATTTAGGGGAACTTCACCACTGTGTGGAGTTCTTTTCCTGCAGAAAATATCCATTATTAGAGTTGAAGGTATTGGGATAGTGCTAAAGGGCATTTTTTTCATTTGGTTAAATTTCAAAATGGCTGTGAAAAGGTGGTAAAGCTTCTCAAAATCTGATCGGCTGAATATTGCAGCCTGGCTGGGCACGGGGGAGATCTTGGGGAGCTGCTGCCTCCAGCTGTCTGACTCGCCTGCGCGGTGGATCCGCGTAGCAGCGCCCGTCCCGTCCTCAACAGCAGTTTGTGCTCGGTGGTGGTAACATAAACTGCAGCTGAGGGTGGGTGAAAGGGCCGAGCCGGGCTCCGAACAGCAACAACAGCTGAGGAGGAGACTTTCTCCTGTTGTTGGGCCGGCGACATCCACCAGACGGGCAGGGTAGACACCTGGGGGAGGCAACCTCCTGCGCCGCTTGATCACAGATCTCCGCGAGGCAAAGCCCATCGCCTCATCTCTTCCTTTGTTTATTCTCCATGAAGCCTGCGCACCTTACAGCCTTTAGTGCTGAGCCGTGGCCTGCGCTGCTGCCCGTCAGGGAAGGCGCAGTTTCCCCTTGTGCTCCTCTCACATGAAGAGAACAGCCAGGGTCTGAGCAGCTGCTCAAGGCCGCTGCCCCAGAGCGGGGAGCACAGCTGGGCGGAGGGGTGTGGAAGTGTCCTTGGCCAGAGGACTAGTTTGTTCCGTGGACAGCGGAACTACTGAAGCCTGGTTTTCTGTAAGATGCCCTTCCCTCCATCCATTTTCTTTCTGTCTGTGTCCACAGTATGCACTGCAGTCCTCCCACATGACTTTGGATCTTTGCTACCCTGCCTTGAAGCTATAGTTTTAAAGCATTTGAAGGCAGTACCACTAAAATGAGCAGTGCTGTCTGATGCAGGCCACTCCTTTCCTCCCCTCCTGGTGGTACAAGTAGTTACACAGCAGTGCAATGAAACCTGCTGGGGAGTTGGTCTGGGTTAAAACTAGCTTTTATCTTTTCTTTGTTAACTTCATCCCGGAAAAGTCTCCCCAGTCCACTTCACTTTGTGGCCCCATAGATTCTTGTGCTGGCTTGAGGGAGAAGGCAGGAAGGTGTAGCTGGGAGCAATGATAGAATAGAATGACTTCTCCTGACAGCTTATGCCTTATAAAATAAGGGAGCTGCAGTACCGCTATCACTGCGCGTCCCTTCCACCGACCCCCGGCAACTGCTCCATCTGCTGCCTGCTGTTACTGGCTCGCTGACCGCTGCCGGTCTGAGCAGGCAGGAGCGGAGTGCTTCTGCCCTTCCCTCCCTGGGGATGCAAGCGCACCCGCTGCTGCCCAGCCAGCAATTTTTGCAGAGCTTGTGAGGACTTGGAGACATCTGTCCTTAGTCTGCTCTGGTTGGCTCTCGAACCCTCGTGCTGCAGAGGGGAGGAAGGGATGGAGCGGATGCAGGAGGACAGGGGATGAGGAGGAAGAAATGAAGCTCTCAAAAACTTTTTCTTGAGGAAGCTAAGAGAAACTGATCATGACATGAATATGCCAGTTCATATGATGAAAAAACCAAATGTAGGCTGGTATAACGGTAGGATGATGTTTTAAATGACAAACCAAGACTGACTGTTTTTTCCCTGTACTAATGCAAGAGTTTTACTAAAACTAAAAACTAGAACTTTGGTTTTTTAATTGCAACCTTTACTTAGAGACTTAAATTTCTGAAATTTTACCATTTTAGACTTTAAATGTAGTTATCGCTTGTAGGTTTACAGGTTCTAGTATTTAAAAAATGAGAAAGCCATCCTGCTTTTTCTAATGGACATCATCAGAGTCAAAAATTTGGCACTTCTTAGTACAATTAAGACACTAGAGAGTACGTATTTAATGACTTGCCTCCTTTGAATAGTTGGATCTACTTATAAGAATTACACATGTTTTTGTTCCAGATCACTCTGTTTCCCAACCAATTATGGTTCAGAGAAGACCTGGTCAGGGCTTTCATGTGAATAGTGAAGTCAACTCAGTGCTTTCACCACGGTCAGAGAGTGGAGGACTTGGAGTTAGCATGGTGGAGTATGTGTTGAGCTCATCTCCTGGAGACTCCTGCCTAAGGAAAGGAGGATTTGTAAGTGTGCCCGATTCTGACATTTGAGTTCCCATTATGTTATTTTCTCCATTTGCTGCTTGGTTTGTTTGTTTGTTAATCCATTCCTAAAGGCAGATGTTTCTTCTTTCTTTTATTTGCTCTTAGTTTAGCAATCTTTCTCAAAACGGGTCGGCTAGCAGTTTCACCATTGTTCTTGACTTAGGGGGTGCAGTATGGGAGATGGGTGTACAGGATGGGAAGGTTGCTGACATTCCCTGGTTCTTCAGATAAGCACACCGGCAGTAACACCCCATCTGAGCTTGTTGGAAAAGTATGCAAATATACCTGTGGTTTTTGAATGAGCGTGTGGCTGCTTTGTTGCTGGCTAAGAACAAAAAGCTCCATGTAATGATGCTAGAAGCGTAACGTAGCTACAAAAGCCACTCCAGCTGGGGAATGCTTTCAAGGGCATATCATTTCCTACGGAGAAGCGGCATTAGTCACTGTGCTTTGTGGGGTGGGGAAGGGAGCACAGTTGCTGCTGCCTCGAATCTAAGGCTGCGGTGAGAGAGGCGTAATCAAGCCCCGTGCCGGTAGTGGGGAAAGGGGCTGCATCTCGGCTCTGCCTCCTCGGCCGAGTGCTAGATCAGGAACTGTTGAAAAGCGGAGTAGGTTTGTTACTGTTCGACTGCTGTGCTCATCTTTTCAGGGAGCTGATTTCTGGTTTTCTTCATCCATCCTCTTATATTTTTGTCCCTCATTAGTGGGCACCCGATAACCTTGTCGAACCCTGAGCCTAAGAAAGATGATTTTTGAGAAATGAGGAGCCAGTTTCTCTAACCCCCAGTTCAGATGATAGGTGTCTGCTCCGCAGCACTGATAGTCAGGATGCCAGTTCTGAAACGAAGGGTCTCACTGGTTTAGTATCACACTGTGTGGGGGAGAATTGGGCTCCAAATTGGTATTTACAATTGGCATTTCCAAGGCTGCTCTCTAATGCTAAGGAAGCACCATTTTATTTTCTTTGAGAAGAAGCATCAGAAGATGATTGCTTTTAAAACAATCTCTCTTCCTAAATATGGGGGGGGGGGGGGGGAACCCCCCCCCCCTCCCCCAAACCACTGCCTTATGATAGGCCAATTAGAGAGAATGGAAAAGTTATTTAGTTGATACAGGGCTCAAATGCCCTGTTATATACAGAGTACTTTTCCCTCAAATGAAGTGGAAGACAGGGTTTCAATGTCTGTCTTTGTGACAGCACGAAAGCTGTCTCTGATAAATATGTTTATATGCCCCTTGCTGTTTTTTATCATAAATTATGTTGTTTTTCCTCTCCCTTTTGTTGTTCAAAACTCTGCCCCTGGCATAATCACCCTTTATTCTTCTCCCAAGTGAAATAAAATGCAGACATTAAGGGCAGAATTGCTGCAGATGTAATACCACTCATAAAATGCTCAACAGAACAGAAATCCTTTTTTCTTCTTTCTCTCCCCTTCCCTACCCCCCCACCCACCCCCAAGAAATGTGCTTTAGAATTATATGAACCAATGATCAAGCCAGTGATTGACTTGAGTGCTCTTAAATGAGCCGTATCTTGGAATTCACTGCGCAAATCACGGTAATGCCCCCCCAAAGCGAGGTGATCCTGGTCTGCTCAAATACAGGCACTTGTCCAGTCAATTACGGCATCTTTGACGCCGAGACCGTGACTTTCGGAGAGGTGCTAATTCAGTTTATACCCCTACAGTACCTGCTGTCGTATTTAAAAGTTCCTGAGTTAATTTTGAAGTGCCTAAGTCCCATCTAGAAAGGATTTGGATAAGTATTCTTTAAAATTATTTTGGGGTGGGATTTTTAGAGCCTCTAGAAGCAGCCCCTGAATTACTAAATGGCAGAAACTGAATAGATAGATAAAACCTCTCTTGGAAGAATGAGAACTAATTCCCTTATTTCTTTGATTATGATTGACTGTTTTGCTTTTTTACATTTTTTTCTTTGTAAGAACTAATGTTTGCAAGTGACTTACTTTATTGTGACCTGTTTCTTTGATTTGTTACCATCTCAGAAGAAAAGTAAAATTGATCTGAAAACTAAGCTTATTAAAATAATGTCTCTTTTGCCTAGGGGCCAAGGGATGCAGAGAATGATGAGAATGACAAAGGGGATAAGAAAAATAAGGGCACATTTGATGGCGATAAATTAGGAGATCTGAAGGAGGAGGGGGATGTGATGGATAAAACAAATGGTTTGCCTGTGCAGAATGGAATCGACGCAGATGTCAAAGACTTCAGGTACGTGCACCATTAGTTAATAATTAATCAGTGTCACACAACGTTTTTTGAAAAATTTTCCATGCTGTAGCGAAAAAGCTTTTGACTCATTGAACCAGTGTCATGAGGACGTTATAATGTGCGCAGGGAAGCACTGTGAGAAGGTGGAGGATAACACCCGATAGCTCTAGTCTGTGCAGACCTAGTTCCGTACGCTGTAATCTTATTTTTATTTTCACACCTGTTTTTAATTACTCTGTGTGGGATTCCTATGGAAATACCTGCTGAAGATGCTGATTCTACTTATATACTAGACTAAATTATACTTGGGGTTTTGGGCTTTTTCCTTGTAGCTCTCGAGAGATTAAAGCTTTCTGAAACTGTGGCTATTGATGTAATCAATGCATTTGTACTTCTTGCTAGCTTACCTGCATGCTGCGCCTCGTGTTGACGTGTAGGAGAACTGTAAAAGCAAAGCAAATGAGCTGTGAGGCGCGCACTGCTGGCCCTTGCATGAGATGAGCCGTTTCCCACTCGAGCCCAGTGCTTATGTTGGGTAATTAGGAAACCATGGCAGCTCGTTTAGAAAGGTTTCAAGCGAGATACAGTGCCAGAGCGTCACGTGGTTAATAATTACCAAATAGCTTTATGAAAAAATGACTTGGGCATTTCTGAAATCCTGTCTTGTTATGACAGACTCTCTCAATTGAGGAGAAAAAAGACACTGAATTTTTTACACTTGTACTGTAACAGGTCTTTGAGGCAGGGGGACTGGGGGTTTTGTGGGTGGTGTTTTGGGGTTTTTTTAAATACATAAATTTTTCTATAGAATTCATATAGGGAACTATTTCAGACCATCCTTTTATTTTTATCCCCTTTATCACAACGTCTGCGAGCAGTTCTGGTGAGTACTAGTGTCTGTTGCTGTTAATCCGTGCTGTGGGACGTAGCATTAAATGGACATGCTCAGTGACGAGTATCTTTTCTTTCCGCGTAGCCGTACACCTGGTAATTGCCAGAACTCTGCTAGTGAAGTAGATCTTTTGGGTCCAAACCAGAATGGATCAGAGGGCTTAGCCCAGCTGGCGAGTACTAACGGTGCCAAGCCGGTGGAGGATTTCTCCAACATCGAGTCCCAGAGTGTCCCTCTGGATCCCATGGAGCACGTTGGCATGGAGCCTCTTCAGTTTGATTATTCTGGCACTCAAGTACCCGTGGACTCGGCCGCAGCCACCGTGGGCCTCTTCGATTACAGTTCCCAGCAGCAGGTAAAGTGCCGGCCGCTGGCCCTACCCTACCGCTCCGGTTCCTGCGGGAGAGTCGTCATGGGGTTAGCGTGAGCTCAGGCTCTTCTCTTGGGGAGAGGGGCGGAGGAAGGCTTGGAATGGCTTCATCATCTCTGCGCCATCTGTAGAGTGCTGCATGTGTCCTCCTAGGGAGCTCGATGCAGGAGATCCGCTTAACGTGCCCATCTGAGCAGCAGTCTTAAGGACCTGTAATAAACAGCCGTTATCAACAGCACGCTTCTGCTTATTAACCATTTTTAGCTTGAGTAAGTTTGCATTGGAGAAGAGCTTTAAATTAGTAAAAACTGTGAAACAAACCAAAAAAGAAACGCAGCCCCCCTGGAGCCCTTGAAGTGACTTAAAGGTCAAACGAGTGTTGAGCCTCGCCGTTGCAGCCCTGCTGTGGGATCTCCGCAGCACCGGACCAGAGCAGGCTGCAGCAATGATGACTTCAAACCGGCTCGCTCGTACTTGAGCATGGTTTAAAACCTGAGGTCGGAGTCCAGTGCTACAAAACTTTATCTCAGCCCAGCGGGTTGGTTTGACCTTTTCTCCCACGCAAGCGGCCCCAGCTTCTCATCCCAGACGAGTAACGCGAGTCCTTGCTCTGCTGCTGGCTTCTCTTGAATGCTGGGCCTGGGTCCAAGGATCGACTCGTAATCCACTCCTCTTCCTGCTGGTTTGGGTAACGATTGTAAACTTTTATTGCCCTCCTTCTGTAGCTGTGATATCCCTCAAAGAAGAATAAAATCCTTTGTTGTAGCTAACTAGCCCTGGGTTTCCTGAAATATCTGATTTTTTTATCAGAATAGCCCGTTGGCACTCTGTTGAGGAAAGACCGTTGCCAAGTCTGTGCTAAAGGCCCACCTTCAGAGCGTTATCGTAGCCTCAAAAGCAATGTAAATATCTGTGTTATAGCTTAATTGGTTGTTTAATATATAGCATGCTTGGGAGGTTAATGATGGAAAATTTTTTAATGATTAAATAGCTGCTGTATAGTTCAAAAAGGAAAAAAAGAAAAAAAGCTAGTTTCAAGTCTTTGTCCTACTCTGGCGTAGGACCTTGAATGCAAGAATTACTTTCAAACAATGAAACGTGTGTATTTTTTTAAAACAGTATGTTAGAGCTAAATAATTGAACTGCTTTTTAAAGAACCGTGAGATATGGGAAAATAACTGCAGGGACGTGAAGCCTGTAATTTGTATTTTGTCTGTTAGTGTATTTTATTTAAATTAAGGCTCATTTACAAGTTCAAGTAGTTTTTATTTGTTTCTTCCAGCCTCTAAAAATAGGATTTAAAATTTGGCACGTCTTGCGCCTAGCTAGTGGAAACCAAAACTCTGGAAGTAAGGCTGACCTGGAAGGAGCGCTGATTTCAGAAGTGGTTGCAGTACGGCGCGCTGGCTCTGTGGACAGGCCTGGGGTTTTTTTTTTTCTTGGTATGAAGTGGATGGGTAATATCCACATAGAGCTGATGTCACCTCCATGTAGTCATGCTTAAAACTTTCTGCTGGGTTGCCGGTGAAGCTGCCGGTCTCTCTCGTCTCTGAACCGTGAATTTCGGAGGGGAGCAGGAGGTGCTGGCGCAGTGAGCACAGCTGCCTGCCCGCCCGGTCGTGCTGGCGGGCTCAGCTCCCTCCCAGGTCACGCTGCGAATAAGCAGGCCAGGCTGTTCAGTAAGGACTGTTATTTTAGTTTCAGCTTTGTTGCAATACCTACGTACACCTCTGGTACATGCAGGCAGGCTTTTGTAAGCCTAAGCGCTGTATGAAAGGTAAGGATTCGCTCTTCTGCCAAACGTGACCTCTCGGTGCACGTTTGTGTAAATGCAATGTATCTTGGCTCGGAATTGTACCCGCTTTCTTAATATATGCTATCCAGCAGCCAGTGTTTCTTGGTATTTGCCGTCTGCCAGTTATTGCCCGTATGAAAGAAATCTGTCTTTCGGCAGTACAGTCTTTTCCATTCAGTTGTCAGAAGGAAATATGTCCTGAACAAAAGGATCTCATCTGTAAAAGTGTCTTTCTCGGTCCGTTGGGAAGCGTCATATACTTTGAAGGGATTACAAGCAAGTACAGCTAAAAGCAATATTAAGAAGGGAAGGTCTTAACCATGTGTAATCTGATTAGAGAAGTCAGATGTTTATATTGCAGGAGAAACTGGCTTACAGAAATCTAATCTTACAACGTTCCCATAACTGTATGATACAGTCTGCGCTGTTCTGGTTTCTTGGAATTCCCTCGATGATCTCCCCCCGCCTGTTGTAAAAGATACTTCACTTGTGTACATGTGAGACAGGAAAATCGCCTCGCTTTTTGCAGCGTCGGGTGATCCTACTGACCTCCTCCGAAACTGTGTCAGTAGTTTGTAGGTTTTCACTCTGACTGTGATTTCCAATAGGCTAAAATGCTCCCTGCGTACTTTTTTATAACTTCAGCCTCACTTTGTAAATTCTAGTTAATATTCCTGTTGAAGAGGTTTCTCTTCTTTTTTCCACGACCACAATTTAATACTGATACGTCGTTTTTTAGGATATAGGTCTTTGCTGTCAGCAGATGGAGACAGTGCATTGAGGCTTTAATGACTCTTCCTAAATACATAGAGTTGATGATTCCCAGAGCTCACGTGGTGTAGGGGCTTATCGGGCTAAGTAAAGCCTGAAATTGCGATCGGTTTTGTTGGCTCCGCTTCCTCATGTGCTACAGGCAGTATGAAATCTGCAGCTGCAAGAAGTTCGAGCTGTTCACACTGAGTTTCTTCCGGGTAAGCTGAGCCTAGAGTCTGGGTTTGCAGGCTTGCAGAAACTGCGATTTAGAGCGGACGGAGGGAGAGGTCGCCGATTTGAGTCACTGCCCGAGTGCGTGGCTTAGACGCCAACGTTTATCTGACCTTTCTTTGGAAGGGGAACTCCATAAAGATTTGAGAGGAGGCCTGCTGCAGGCGGAAGGAATCCAGCCCTTTCTCGTGCTTGCAACACAGTGTGAACGCAGAACGTTTGCGTGTGGTTTTAAAGAAGGTCAAGAATATTGTCTGAGGAAGTAAGCGTCGCTAAGTTGGAGCCAAGTCTTTAGGTTTCTTTGACTTGAGGATGCAGACATACTCTCGGTGATTTTCGTGAGCGGATGAAAGGACTCTGCTCAGCCACTCTGATCCTTATTTCTCCCTTCTGTAATACCAGTGATTTTAGGTAAAGGAGCATCTTTTCAATCTCCCTCTTTGAGTCTTTAGGTAAACTCTCAACAGCTGCTGACAAGCAGCCATTTGCAGAGCGTTTTGGATACTGTGGCTTGATTTCAGCAAAAGAAAAATGCACAGAGGTAGTGTGGGTACTTGTATGTCTGCAAGTCCAATTTAGCAGTCATCAGCTGTGCTCACACGATGGGGAGAGCAAGCAGACAACAACAAAAAAAACCAACCCAGCAGCAGGTGAAATATTCATGCTTTGAGTAGCTGTGTATTCTTTTTTTGGTAGTACTTCTCACTTAAAAATGGATCATTGAGATGCGTTTGGGAGGTGTGGAACTCATCACAGATGTAAACTGAGCAAAAGAAAAGGTATTTTCAGAGAAGAGAAGTCCTTTTTTTGCCCTTGACATAGGCAACTAATAATCTAGCCATTTCCTCTGCTGTTCACCTTGGCAGAATACATATTAGAAGACTGGAAAAACGGATCCCAGGGATGCAAAACAATACGAAAGTTAAAGGTTTTGGTGAAGTGTTTGCAGCTGAAGAAAGCTAAAATACTGGGTTGCTGAACTCAATACAAAAGTAGAACACAAACCAAGGATGTCTGTTCTAGATGTAGCTCTACCCAGCAGTGAAGCAGTTTAGGGGAGATTTTTTTTTTTTTCCATATGTGCTGATGCTGATCAGTGAACGAGATGTTGCTGGAGACTCCTACAGAGCCGGTATCCCTCACTCCATTTTCTGTAGGTCACGTTGTCCATGATGTCCTTGCTTTTTTTAACTAAACGATGTCAGAGCGTTTGATCCAGCTACTAATGGCAGATGGTATATTAATGAAGATTACAGCCCTTATAAGCACTCAACTTTGTGTAAGCACGAAGTATTGTCGAATGACACGTTAAAAAGGAAAAAAGAAAAGGGGGAAAAAAAAAACAGGTGTGTTCTGCATAAAGACTGCTAGGAATGTTTTATGGCCCTCCTGGCAGTAGACCCAGGGAGGTGCTAAAAAAACCTGTGGGTTTGACGTGTTTCTCCGTAAGCAGCATTACGATATTCCTTGGATATATGGAGGGGCCCCAACATCGTAAGCGGTGAGCAGTCTTTGGGGAAAATGGTTGTGACTAGGTTTTTGGCACAGAGAAGATCAGTTCTGGATCCCTTAAGTACCAAGTTCCACATCTTAAATCTGATGCTGATCCCTTACGTGTTTTCTTTTTCTCCGTCTGAACTCATAAAAAGAGAAGAAAATAGAGGTAGACTATCACCTATCTTTTTTCATATTTGCTGCCTAAACAGCGCAGTTGCTCATCCTGCTCTCAGGAGAACCAACTCCAATTTCTGCCTATAAAAAAACCCCTAATTTTCTAAATGATTCCGTGCTTCTTCTTGATGGTTGCAAGTTTCTGCCAAAAATTTGGGCAGAATTATTATTGCTGCTTCTGACAGTTGAAGTAGCTCACTTGTCTTGTCTGAAAGGAGGGCAGAGATAATAGGTGTGAAAATTGTATAGCATTTAGGCCTATTTTTTTTCCAAGTGCGTGGAGAAAGAAAACATTTATCACAGCGGTTTGTGAAGTCATTCACACCTCAGAAATGATCACTTTTGGAAGTAAGTGGGGAACATTGCTTCTGGAGAGTTTCAGAGTGGCTATTCAGCTTGTGTCTTCTTAAATGTTTTAATTATTGCTGAGCGATGGTCTGCTGATGGATTGATTCAGGCAGTGTTTCACTTAAGTAGAGGCATCTACTCCGCATAGGAAGGTGGGGAGGTGAGCTTAGTGAGGATGTGGATGAATGGAGGAAAAAAAAACCCTAAGCAAAAATACTTTTTCTTTAAAGACTAATGTAATCCTCTCTTTTTTTTTTTTTTTTTTCTCATTGAGAATGACTGTTCTCAATAACACTGCCCATTGCTCCCTAAGACTGTAGTAAGCTGTAAGCTGGCAGACTTGTGTGTACTTTGGATGGCTTACCCAAAAAGTCCCCGGGTCTGGTTGCTGTCTGTGGTCAAAGAAGAATTTACCCTCCTTGCCTGGGTGCACGTAGGAGATGCTGGAGGTGGAAGGCTGGCAGGTAAAGGGAGCATTTTGTCCAGGGGTTTGCGAGCTCCCCGGGCTGGCATCCCATCTGATGGCTCTGAAGCCATCTGGAGCGCATCGCCTCGCCCCACAGCCCGCCTGCCGCGTGGGACCGTCTGGGAGAGTCGCGCGGGTTGTCCACTGGTCTAACCGGGATTTCACCGTGCTCGGCGTTGGTCAAGATCTGGAGGTGCTCATGGCAGCTACTGGTGACCCACAGGCTGCAGTTAGGGGCTGTGTGTTTGAGGAGGAGTTGGAAAAAAAGAAAAAATGGCTTCCAGGCATTGTGCAGAGAAAACCCTGGCTGTGCTTTAGCTGTACTTCAGAAATACTTTTTTTTTTTTTTTTTTTTTTTTGCAGGTGGATTATCATGGGCAATTCATTTCAAAGGGGTTTGGGTTTTTTTCAGTTCCTTTTGAAATGTTTCCCTTTAAAGAGGAGCGTCTGTAGTTGTGAAAATAAATCTAATGTAAAGGAATTGCTTTGAAAGGAAGTAAGAGAATGCTTTTTGTGCATGAGTAAAGGACCATATTTGTGCTTCTGTCTCTTCAGTTGTTCCAAAGACCGAATGCACTTGCGGTTCAACAGCTAACAGCAGCGCAGCAGCAGCAGTACGCGTTGGCAGCTGCCCATCAGCCTCACATAGGTAAGTCTTGCATTTAATACATTACATTTCCCTGGACTTCTGTTAGTCCTCACAGTATGTTGAGAAAATAGTAGGGAAAAAGGATTGGTAGGTTTTAGAGAATCCTAAATATGTTTTTGTAGCTGGTAATCGCCACACAAGCAGACGTAGATTGTTTGGAGATTTACTTGAAAAATTCTGGAGGTATCTCTTGCCCACTTTAAAAGCTCTAGAGCATTCATGTCTGACAGGAATGACACTCTTACCCTTGCTGAGAGTGCTGTTCAGTAATGAGAGCATTTTGAAGTACTTGCATGCTCTGAGTGAGGCATGAATGGGGGTAAGCGGCACAGTGAAGTGAGGGAAAAATGCACAATTTGATACACACCTGAATGTGCTTCCTACCGTTCGGCTGCCTGGCGTCGGACTTTAACTTAACGATGTAATTTATGCAAACACACGATTCATATTATTAAAACAGTATAGGTTAACTGGGAAGAAAGCACTTAATCCTGCGCATAGAAAACCAAGACAAGTGTAGAAGGGCTACTCACGGATGATTTGAGTTAAGTTATCATGGGGTTAAACGTTTTTTAGCACGCTGAGCAGTTTAAGTGGTAGTTCTTCCTACCCGAAAGGCCGATACAAACGCGTTGGGACTCTTCCAGCTCTGTGCAGTGCACTTGTATGCTGACTGGAGCTCAGGGATAGACCTGAATTAAAATTACTTAGCTTTTTAACTTACTCCCCTTCACCTGCACCTCCCCTCCACGCCCCCCTCCCGCCCACCAGTAATTTCTCTAATGATTAAACTCTTTCCTTGCAGAGGAAGGTAATGCCTACATGGCAGCGATAGTGCCCTGCGGTGTTACCTGTACACTCCTGAGCTCCTTCCAAACTAATTCATTGAAGTACTGGTGTAGTGGGCATGGAAGTCAGAAAGTAGGGTAAATTGGTTCTTGATCAGCTTGCTGTAGAAAATACAGAATAGGAACAAGCAATTAGCTAAGGTTAATATCTAGCTGGTGCTAATAGTCACCTAAACAGTAAGGGTGTATCTCTGCGCTGCAGAGGTACCTGAGCAGGTATGGGTATTGTACATAGAGTATTTTACCGCTTCAGCTTTCCTTACGGGGCATCGCATCCTTGGAATTAGGTTTCTTTTATGTAAATTGTATCCTCTGTAGATTGTTCTGTTAAGACTCTGGGAAATGTGGCAGTTGCTCACTCCCTATAGAAAACAACCCGCAAAAAGCTTGAAAATGCTAAAGCAACCTGAGCTTTTGCGTTCGCCAGCCAGGTAGCCAGGGGTGTTGTGGTAGGGCTTCAGTTCTAGTTAAGTTTGTTTTCACTGACAGGTATGTTTTCAGCAGGTTTAGCTCCTGCTGCCTTTGTCCCCAATCCGTACATCATCAGCGCCGCTCCGCCGGGAACAGATCCGTACGCAGCCGGACTTGCAGCAGCTGCGACATTAGGTGAGATGCTTCCAGTTGTCTGTGCGTTCGTGACCATTTTCAGTACCAAAGCTGCTCTTGAGTCTGTGATTGTAGAAATTAAATACTAGTACGTTGTAATTTCTGTGGAGAGAGAAGTGTATCAGTGTGTTGAAACAGAATTTGGCTTGGAAACCCTATTTTCTGTAGATTAAATGTGATAATTCTTGTATAACACTTGCTATGGGCTCTCTTTCTGTTGAGGATAAACAACCGTAGCAAATCTGAAATGAAACACTTGCAGACATAAATGTTGCTACATGTTTGGGGTTTTTTAGTAACTGACAGTAGTGAGAGATACCCTTGAAAATATACTTATTAAATGCTAGAAAGATGGAGGACGTGTTTTCCTGCCAGGAAAGCTGTATCTCATTGCTGTTTAGCCTGATTTGCTGTAGTGCATCCTGCAAATGATATCTTTCCCTTTTGCTAGAGTCTGTTAAGAATTTCTGCTTTTTAGGTTCTCTAGGTAAAAACATCCCATATCTGCTGTGAGGCTTATACTCTGAATATGCAGTTTTCCAGATGGCAAGCAAAGATGGTGGCTCTTGTCTTTGTGCAAGATCTTTCTCCCAAAACGTTCACGTATCAGTTTCCAAATTCTTGCCAACTGTCATCGCCAAAATTGTTGTATCTTGAGATGACAGCTCGGTAAAACAGCTTATCAGGCAGTGTGAAGAACACATTGTATGTTGAACTTTTGCTGCATATGCCATAAAGTTCTTGCCTAAGCATTGAGGACAAAGGAAGAATGTACTTTGAGAAAAGCATTTTTATAACCATGCTTTTTTTTTTTTTCCGTGAGCCAGTGGGAGAGGCAGCCTTCTACATTTTCAATAAAAACTGGTTGGTTCAGAGTAGTGGTGATTTTTAGTGGAGCCTGCACGCTATTGCCACACTCCGTTTACAACTTGTATACTCACTGCAAATCTCTTCCACTGTGGGGATAGCTTGTACCAAACCAAAGCCATAAAATGTTGGTTGTACGTGAATATAGCGCTCTGCCAAACAGCCGTGTGGTTTGGTACGTGACTTCTCGGCGTGTTTAACAGCTCTTACGCAACCGCTGCTTAGCTTTTAAGCTTTGAGGCCAGTATCAGGTCAAGCTCTGAAACAGGATTTCAGCAGCCGTTACCCAGTTCAATGGATCATATGGAAGTGTGTAAAGAATCAGATTCTAATTTGAAGATGTGGGCTTTGGACTTTTTGGCTGCTGTGAATTTTGTATGCTGATTGCATAACAACAATGCAAGATTAAGTTTAGGTAACAACATGTTGTTGGCAAACAAATGACACTGTGATTAAATGGAAGAAAGCCAAGAGCTAGAGTACAAGGATACTTCTAATAGTCCAGGAGTCGATAAAATATCGTGTGATGATGAATGTATGGTGCTGAATGAATGACCTGAGCTCTTGGTGGCAAATATAATTAGGAAGCGTCAGTCAGGACTTAGCGGGGCAGAGGTGCTGGAGCGCTAGCAATTCCAGTTACAGTCAGAAGAGGTGCTTTGTGAACGAATACTGTAAAAAGCGGATTCCAGTTGGACCTTTTGCATCACCGCAGTGCTTCTAAAGCTAGTGCTCGTACTCCAGTAACACGCTGAAGTTCAGTGGAGCAGGAGGTCAGCGTCTTGATTTCATAGAAAGACCACATGTAACTGCTGCGAGATTTCTAGGAAACGGCGAGTGTGTTTGTGACAACTTTTTTTTTTTTTTCCCCTTTTTCTCAGCAGTATTGAAGCTGCAGCTGCCTGAAAATATCTGATTGATGCCTTATAAATTTGAACTAGGAAATAACATACCCCAGGATACCTAAAGCATCCCAGAACTTGGCATCAGGATCTCTACTTGAATAATTTTTAAACTTTATGACTCTTGAAGGCACAACAAAAGAACGTGTAATGTGCTGCAATGTACTTAGAGTGTTACAGCACTGAGAAATACGAGTTACTTCATCCACCTCATTGGGCTTTGGACCCCAACAGCTAGAAATGGCAATATAGCAAACTCCACTCCTTGTTGATGTTTGGTTTAGCAGAGGCACCTTTTCTGTCTAGACTGGAGCAGTTTTGGAAGCCCTTGCTCTGTAATGACCGAGTGCAGCACTGAAGGGGCGTGGGGCAATGCAGATGTGTAGAGTTATGTACAAAGCCAGGAGGCCTCCCTGATGTGTATGGAAGTGTTAAATTGGGAGGACCTGGAGAAGTTTATGAGATGGAAGAAATGAGTTTAGAGCTGTTGGTAGTCTATTGCTCACAGTTATTCTTAGAGCAGAGGGGAAACTTTTGTGTGTTTTATGGTGGAGATAATTCTGTCAATTAAGATTCTGCCGTTATGGCAGCTTTTTCATGACTGTAAGACTGTCAGCCCTGTGATAATAGTCTTTTCTTCCCAACAATAGTAGCATTTTAAAGAACAAATTTGAATGCAGAGGGAAGGGCTTCTTAGACTCAAGAAAAAAATCATTTGTGAGTTTAAACTGTGGGGAAGATGCTGATGTCTTTAAAAAGTGTTGTGAAATTGCCTTCTATCATTTGAGAAAGGTGTCGCTCAAAAGAAATCTTGCCTTTCGTAAGACAAGTTGGGAAATGTTGATTCCCTCTGAGGTGGTGTGTTACAGGTAGAAAAGCGTTTCTGCTCTTTGTAGAGAAGTGGATGCTGGAATAATGTGCATACGGGAGAAACACGGTGCTCCTAGGCTGAAGGTAGAGCCGGTTTGGATGCGTCTGCGCTGCGCTTCTCAAGCTTGGGTTTCTTAGAAGCCTCATTGACTTGGTGCTGGCCTGTGTCCCGTGCAGAGCCAGCTCGGAGCTGGAGACAGGTATGGATGGTTTGGTCTAGTCTGCCCTTGATTGGTTTAGCGTGGACTTGGTGATGTTGGGTTGATGGTTGGACCGGATGATCTTAAAGGTCTTTTCCAACCTAAACGATTCCATGATTCTATGGACGCACGCACATACCGCCTAGGAGCGGGGCTTGGGGGAGCGCGCGCGGCGGGCTCTTCCCCAGCTGCCTCGGGCACGGTGCCACGCAAGGGTGCCTCTCCTCTTCTGGATCTGCGCTGGCCCCAGGCGCGGCGCGGCAGGGTTTGCACGGGGCTGCACCAGAGCCGTTTGAGTTCGGCTGTTTCTCCCCCCCATCCCTAAAAAGACTGGTTGCCATACCGGTCATCGTGATCACCTCACAGGTCAATAGTATTTGATCCAGTTGCTATTTGCAGCCTCGCATTTTGGACGTGAGGTTCTTGAGGCTGTTTACCTGGTGGTCGCTAAGTCCTCGTCCTTGGCAAGAGGGGGCTGGCTGTTCCTGCAGAGAGCAGGTATGGCTTCTGCTTACCGAGATTTGAGTGTGAAGGCTGAGATTAAGAGCAAAAATTTTGTTACGAACACACTTACAGACGGTTTTGCTAATGTTTTGTGAAAGGAGTATTTCTGGGTCTCTGTGGCCAACGTGTGAGACATAGTAGTGGGAATATTTGATTTCAAAGGCAATTAGAATGGCTTTTATTTTCTCGTGTATGTGTATCTTTAATAAGTGTAAAAGCAGGTGCAGTATCTCCTGAAGTAAAGAAACACTCTGTGTGTTTTTGGAAGTCTGGCAATGATGACACGCTTGCCCTCACTGAGAACGCTGTTCAATAATGAGCCTCACCATGCGCTCAAATGAGCTGAGCCAGACCTGCAGTCGTTCTAAGCCCAGCTGCCTGCAAACTTCAAAGACTTTGTGTCTCTTCTTCTTTTAAACACCTAAGGCTTTTGCAGATCTGATGAGCAACCTCTAACTAGGAAGAAAAACCCATCTAGACTATGCTTGTTTGATAATTAGAACTGAGATCAAAATAACCCAGAGAGATGCCCACATTTTGCCCAGGTAAAGGGTATTGCAGCAAATTCCCAGTAGCGTGAGGGCAAATGCAGACTAATTACTTGCATAAAATAGAGCGGTTGCAACTATTTTCCTGTTGAGTGCAGAAGTACCCGAGCAGTTGCTGTCCGCTCGGCACTGACTGAATGTAAACAGGTTATAATCCACCGATGAGCTGTGGATGGTCTGTAACTACTTAAGGTAAGCAGTACCATTGTGGGACCGATCCATTTTCTGCAGGTTTTTTAATTTTAGCTGCCACTGCTCATGAATTTCCAGGTTGGAAGGGAAGAAACAAGTGGTTGCCGCTCCAAGACAAATCTGAGTAAGACGAGTCACCTTCTCGGACTGACGGTACACAGTAAATCCAGCAAGGGTGGATTTCGTGGCAGAGCTTTAGTGTGAGATAGAAAGCCGGCTGTTCGGCGCGTATTGCTGCAGTGCCTGGCGTTAGGCAGCAGGCTGCTTGTAACATCTCCCTGCGGTACGTAGAGCTGGGCACGCGTGTTCGTGACGCTACAGACCCCTACATTTGGGGAAAGTACAGTGGTTGAAAACAAAGGAGAGTAGCTGTTACACTTTTGAAATATGAATTTAATATTAGGCATTGACGGTGAAATGAATAGCTTGAAGCGTTGCTGAATGCAGCCAGCCTGCAGTCCTGACCGCGGGAGCAGCAGTTCAGCCAGGCCGAGACCCGCACTTGCACACGGGGTTGCTTTTGCATCGAGACAAACACGCGTACTGTGTAAAAACCAAAACCAAACCGAAAAGTCCTTCCCGGGTTTTTTTCCTTTTGTCATACCCACGTTTACACTCAGTAGTGGCTTTTTGCATCTTCTTTTTTACTGTCATCCCTCATTTGGGGGGAGTATTTTTTTAAGTCTCTTGGGGCAAACGCTCATAATCTTCATGTGTTACACTTGTTCTCCTTGCAGTGTCTTGCTGTAAGACGTAACTAACAGCAACACTAACATGACTTGGTTAGCACTCAAATGCTAACCGTCTCTCTTAAAACAGAAGCTATTTTTACTCCATATAAGAATGAGTGTGTGGTTCAAATTCACTACAGACTCGTTTATTCTGCAGTGTCAAATACGACTGTGGCACTCGACCTTAAAAAGGCTAGCGTGCCCTAAGTTACTCCTACTGTGGGGAAGGAACCTGTGGGATGGGTGATGTCTTTGAAAAGCAAAAGAAATACTTCTACTTTTCTGCTGGCCTTTCCAAAAGATATGGAACAGACATATTAAAAAATATGATTGGATTCGTATACGTGCTGTTTGGTGGGAGGGACTCCACCGTTCGGCGCAGGGCACTCACTGCTTCCTCCGTGTTAATGCCATTCCTCACCAACAGGAATTATTTAAGGATATAGGCTGCCATTCTGCTGCCAAATTAAGCGTGCAGTATCCTGAGACTTAATAAAACACAATGAATCTTCTAAAGTTATGCTTTTTCTGTTGCTCTCCAAGATTATTATTATGTTTAAGCCTCTAAAATGTAGCCAGCAGTTTGAGGAGGGAATGTAAAGAGATACAGGATCATGCAGGATCTTTTAAGGTGGTTTGTGAATGCAAAGTAGGACTGAGTAGCTAGAAAAATAACATTTTAGACACTTGAGAATTGATGCTGCCTAGCTGCAAAGGGTTTGTTTGGTTTTTTTTTAAATTTATTAGAGAGCTAAATGGTAGGTGTAACTGAGCTCTGAATGTCAGCTGAAGAGACTTGCATATCTCTGTGCTTAAACAAATTTCCTTCTCTTTTGGTTAGAGATAAAGTTTTATTCCTTCACTATAAAATTAGGGCACAACAATAAAACCATGGAATTTCAACAGGATCACTGGTGGCAAAATTTGACATCATCCAATAAGGTAAAACCAAATAAAGATGAAATTTCAGGTCTGACTTCTAAGCTTTTTAAAAACAAATAATACAAATGCCAGAATCCTTCCGTATTTGCAAAAGATTTGAAGCAGATGACCTTGAAATAGGATTTGGATGAGCAGGTATTTTTGGTGACGGTTTGCTTGTAACGCTTGTCACGCTACAGAAGCTCACTGATTCCTTTTGCATTTTAGGTCCGGCGGTTGTTCCTCACCAGTACTATGGAGTTACGCCCTGGGGAGTTTATCCTGCCAGTCTCTTCCAGCCGCGCTGCAACTAACTCGGCAAATCAGCAGACCACTCAGCAAACCCAGCAGGGCCAACAACAGGTAGGGGGTAGGATGCTTTGCATGTCGAGTCGTTGACAGGGAACACGGCAGCTTTGAAGAATCCCAATTTTTTTTTATTTTTTTAATGATTGCTCCTGACACTCAGTTGTGTCAGGAGAAGAGCCTTTAGCCTCCCTTAAAAAAAGAAGCAGCATCTATACATTCTGTTGTGTCATTTCTGCATCGCGCATATGGAGGATAGCGCACGTACGTTTGTGGTGGTGAATTACTGTGTGGTAATGCTCTGGAGAACAAATAATCTCAGCAGTTTGCGAACACTGCTGAGCGACACAGCAGCAAACACATGCTGTTGGCGTGCGAGTGGAAATCATCAATTTGCGACCTGTTTTCATGCCGATCGCTGCAACTTGAAGACCATGGAGACAATGAAAATGTGTGTCAAATACAAAATGTCAATAAGCGTGTTCTCATCTTCAGGGCGCTGTCCCGTATAGGATGCTTTTCTTGATGAAGACGAGCTTTAAAAGGGTCAAAATAACAGCAGAATGAGTTGGTTTGGTATCCGTGTGAGGACTTGGAGACAAAAGATGAGTGTGAAAAGAAAACACTGAATTTGCTATTTCTATAAGGTGAACTATGCAGCCGTTTTGCTTTAGTCTGCACAAAAATTTGGGGAATTTGACACCTAAAAGGCCCAAATTAATGAAATCAGTGAAGGGTTTTCATATGATCTGCTATTACCCCTTTAAGTGTGTTAGAGATGAACATTGAGGCAGGTAACTTGTTTAAATGGTATTTGCTTTTTTTTTTTTAAAAAAAAACAATGAAGAGGTCACACTGGGGGCTGATAAGGGGAAGCTTTTCCTTGCATACTTTGTAAATGATGTGTGCTTGATGGGGTTTGCACCATCCACCTCTTCCGTCTTAATCCCTTGGCAGTGACAGCGTATTGGATTATATAGCCTGTACTTCTTCTTCTGTTGAAAATTGCTGTGCATCTTTGATGAATCACTGTAATTTCTTGTTCAGGGTGTGTCGTCCATCCCCGGCGTCCCCCCCCCCATACTTGGAATTTAACTAGGTTAATTCTCCCAACTTCAGTTAGACAAAATAAGCATTTTAAAGGTCTGGGATTCAATCATAGTTGTACCTCTGATGTCGAGGATGCAAATGTGAATCTAGCAGCTGCTGGAGTAGAAGGTGGAACTGAGAGACTGGTACGAGAATTGATAGGGAACAATAATTTTCTTCCTTTACTATAATAAAAAGCCATCCTAAAAGTTTTATGAAGTTGTTTGGGAGTGGAAATTGTTAGCTTGCTATTCAAATCAGTATTTGGGAAATCCAAACTTTCAGACTAAACTGATGGTTGCTAACACTGTGTAATGAAGTTAAACGCTAGAGGGATGAGAGGCGTCTCACCATCCGTGTTTTGGTTCTCGTTCCCCTCGGACACACGGTTGGATGTACTCTGCTCTTCTCCTTTCAGACCTGGGAGGGCCCTAGGACGGGTGTCGAGAAGCGGCTCAGGCTTCTGCTGCCTGGCCGGCTCTCCGGCACGACCCCAGCTAGTTTGCCTGGTGTTTGGTTAGGCAATGGTGGCTTTATACAGTTTTATTGGCCCCTGTCCCGCAGTACTTCCTGCTTGGAAATAAAATGGATTCGTATCCTACCGAAGAGCGAGGCGGCTCCTTCGCACGGTAGCACCGAGCCTTCCTTCCTGGCCCCTGGGTGTTTGGGGTAGCCATTATAGAAGACAGCTGATTTATTAGCTTCTGCTTTGAAAAGCAAAAAGCAGCACTTGGCAGTATTATAAGGCCTTTTCAGATAATAAAAGCAATTATGTTTCATACCAACGATTCTGGACCAGTGATCAGGAGGAGAACACTTTGCTCCTGACAAAGCTAATCGTCAAACCTCCCCCCGCGGCAGGTCCGGCAGGAGCGTGTTGAACAGGTAAAACGTGCGCGCAGGTGGAACGGCATTACGACTGCGTTGAAGCCACTTCGCTTTGGCATTCAGACTGAGAGCCGTTCCCCGTAAGGAAGGTGTGTGCTAAGAGAGCCTCTGCAAAGGCTTAGGTATCAATCATCAGTAAGCTTTATAATATTTTTCATTACTTGTGTAGCCGTGAAGCAGGCATGAGTGGGGATCCGGGTATTATTTTTAATGCAAACCTTCCATCCATAAGAGGTTACAGTGTGTATTTTTTGGACGAAGTTTTTCTAAGAAGTGCTGAGGCAAATGTTTTGGAAACCTAGAGCGATGATTATGGATGGTTGATTTGTGATGCTCACGACATCTTAATAGCGTATTTATAAAAAACGCCAACATTTCACCTCCTGCAGCCTGCCATCCATCGCGCGTATTCCGGACGGTGCCCTTGCACGGTGCGCGCTTACCAAGCAGCTGCGACGCGTGAGACTCCCTGGGCTGAAGAGTTCACCTTCAGGCTTTGGCGGTGATAGCAAACTGGGATGCTCGTCTAAATGGGTTACCTTCAGGATCCTCTCCCAGTCTCTCAGTGCACAGTCGTTTTTTTCCTTTTAATAACTTTATCGGGTGACACACGCGACGTTGCTTTTTGCAACAAGGCGTGCTGAGTACCAAAGGGTGGCTTTTTTAATAAGCCGACCTCGCTAGTGGGTGCAGACTCTTGCATCACCACTTTGAGTAAAAGGCTTTTGCAAACAAAGCCTGTCGCAGGTAATTACAGGAAAGGTCAGTCTGCCATCTTCCCTTCTGAGAGCAACACGTGCTTCAACCACAAGAACTACGTATAAAAGATGGTGTGTGATCTTTGGTCATTACTGCTGATGAGTAAGTGTCGTGTCACTGGGTCGCTGTTTTCTTACGGGGGCTGGAAGCTTGGAAAAACCCATGTCACCTCGTGTCGTCAGCCCCCCAGCTCCTAAGCCGGGCTTTTTAAGGTTTTCACTCAAGCGGTGCTTTTGTGGCAGAGACAAAATGTTATCTGGGATGGGGCGGGTGGCTTGCAAACGCTGCTAACAAAGGATGAGTGTTGAAGGTACATCAAGAAAGGAAAGAGCTCGGGTGATGAAGCGCTTCCAGATGGTGCTCAGTAAGCCCGAGAGAGGGGATGCGTTACTTAAATTGGGTCTTCTGCGTTGACCCATGAAGTAGCGCGAAGGCTTGTGGCGGCGAAGGCAGCTCTGTCCTGAGTACGTGTGAGGGCTTTTCACACGCGGTTGTGACAAAGCTGCCGTCGCGTGCAAGAACCTCGACTAGGCTGTTGCTGATGCTCCTTCCGGTGTCTGCTGATTGCGGCTTACTCCTGGGTCCCAAAATAAACTGATGTTCCTCTGTCTTCTCCAGGTCCTACGCGGAGGAGCCAGTCAGCGTCCTCTGACCCCGAATCAGAACCAGCAGGGACAGCAGACCGATCCGCTGGTGGCTGCCGCAGCCGTCAATTCCGCCCTTGCCTTTGGACAAGGGCTGGCAGCGGGGATGCCAGGTAGGGGCTCCGAGGGAGCTGCAACTTCTCCAGTGCCCAGGGAGATCTGAGAAAATTCTATCCTGAGTCTCTGCGTGGTGTCACGTTGGCCTGGCGTTCGCCAGTATTTTGTTCTTCTTGTTTTTTGGTTTTAATCTGCGGGTATAGAAGGCATTTTCGAGAGGCTGTGCGATGCGAACCTAACTACCCATGCAGCGTTCAAGTTAAATCAGGGTTTAGGTCCCTGCGTCATAGATGAAAACAAATGTTGCCAACTGTATTGCGGTACGGGTGCGCTGGTTGCTTGCGTTATTGGAAGAATTGATGGCTCCTCTTGGAAGTTGCTTTCAGATTTTTCTGTGGGTCATGCTAGCTTAGGTGATCTTTATGTAGAACCCCAGAGATACCTTAGTCCCATTTATAAGCCTTGTCTTTCCATCCCTGCCACGTGCTAGACTTCAACAGCGTAAGGACTTCCCCTTCATAATTGCTTCCAGGCCAATACCTAGTGGCTTAAAAACAAGGAAAGAAAATGGATAAAAGGAAGCGGGGTTTTATTGTCATTTATAATTCTGCAAGAGAGGAGCTACTGTATGAATTTTAGCTCTGGTCCATGAGGCTGCGTGGTACAAATGTTTTTGATATTCAGTTATATAGAATATTATTGTAATGGCAAAAGGAATAAAAATAAGTATTTTTTTGAATAAGTGGAAGTATGTCCTGTTGGTCAAATGCAAGACAACAGGATTGTTTCAGCCTCAGGTCTCCTCACTGGAAGTGTCACATGGTTGTTACACTTTCTTTTTTTTTTTTTTTAAATAGCTTATGAAGAATGTTGCCGTATTAAGTTACGGAGTGAATTGTAACATGCATGTTTTCAAGTAATCTGCAGATTTCCTTAAATCTGCATTATTGGGGTTTTGGGGGTTATACTTGCAAAGCAAATATTCGCAGAGAACATTCTCTTTGTGGCCCTACTGTGGAGAATCGCTTCACTTTTTTTCCCTGAAAGTTTTATTTAACTGTAAAATTATATCGTGAGGTACCTAAATAGCTATACACTACTGAAAATTTGTTGCTTTGCGTATCACCAGCATATTTAAGAGTTTTTATATATATTAAAGAATGCTTTATGATACATACCTTTGAAAATACATAAGTTAAGGTTCCTTGTCTGCATGTGTGTGCACACTGAACAACGTCAGCGTGCAGTGGGAGAGTGGGAAGTGCAGGGTGTTCGCATATATGAAAAGTCCCAGCATACGTCGTACTTATAAGGGAAAAGAAATAGTGCTTTTGTATTCCAAGACCTTTTTTTTTATCCATGTAACTGAATTTACAGAGGGTAATGCTAGTATAGTAGGTTCGGGGGAAAAAGCCTTCTCTACCTGAAAGCCTTACTAGTGTAAGGTCATAGACTGTTAATATGGATTTTTTTTGTTGTTTTTTCCCCCCTTCAGGAGAAGCAGCGCTGTTGTTGCTTTTTCTTTTTCCATTCAGATATTCCTTTAAAAATCCTATTGCTCCATACTCATCTGAAGACGACTGATCCGCCGTGTGTTGCGCGGCTTGTTGCCTTACCTGTGCGCCTGTAATTTGCCTCTCCAGGTTACCCGGTGCTGGCTCCTGCTGCTTACTACGACCAAACGGGTGCTCTCGTGGTGAACGCGGGGGCCAGGAACGGCCTGGGGGCCCCCGTCCGCCTGGTAGCCCCCGCTCCAGTCATCATCAGCTCCTCCGCCGCGCAAGCGGGTGAGTCCCAGTCCCGGCAAGCGAAAATCTGCTCTGTCCCCGGCGGAGGGCGGAGCTGAAGTCCCCTGGGCTCTGCTGGCCACGAGGACGCCCTTGCCCTCGCTGAGATCCGTTGCGGGGGTTGTTGAGAACACCCTCCGTGCTCGCTGCGTGCGGAGCCGCCGGAACAGCCTCGGAGAGGCAACGTCACAGAAACCCTGTTAGCTTGCAGAGTTTCACGACAGTTATTTAAATTTGTCTGCTGGCATCTAGTTTCCCACGTAAGAAAAGGCTTTAGCCTGCGTAGAACTCCCGAATGATCACCTTGCGTAAAATGTTACACGCCCGGCCTTTGCCACGAGGTTTTTTGGGGTTTTATTAGGGTTCTTGGGGAGTTCAAGGCTTTAAAAGGAATTTTTCAGCCAGAATTTGTACGTGTAAGCAGTCTTTGCCAGTGTTAGTAACAGATTATGAAATGGGTCTTTTAATTGTTTCCTTGTAGCTCTTGTTTATTTTGCTTTTTCTTTTACTTTGGAACTGGCTGAAAAACAAAAGTACTTGGTTTTGATGTTCTTAGCACCGCAGGATTGCGTTTCGTGAGCTGAAGGACAATGTTGCTTGTTTCAAAACTTGTGTTTCTTAATTAGCTGTTGCTAAGTGTGTGGCTGTATTGATTGGAATCTTAGATCTTAGGAGAAAGGGAACATTTTTGTGTGTTTGATCTGTGTAGCTCTAATAATACAAACAGCAGTAATAATAACTAGACATTGTTGGTATTCAGTGGCTCTGTGCAAGGCTTGTGGAGCTCTGATATAAAGTAAAGAGATTTTATGCAGAGTTTTATGCAAACGGGAGATTTTCATCTTGAGAGGAAAGAAAAAAAAATATAGTCAATAAAAGGAACCTGCTAAGTTTTAACTTCCGAAACTGCTACGAAAATGAATTTTTCAGTCTTTGCTTCCAATTACTTTCTCTCTAGCAGTTGCAGCGGCTGCAGCTTCAGCCAACGGCGCAGCGGGCGGCCTGGCAGGAACGACAAACGGACCATTTCGCCCTCTAGGAACTCAGCAGCCCCAGCCCCAGCCCCAGCAGCAGCCCACCAACAACCTGGCATCCAGCTCGTTCTACGGCAACAACTCTCTCAGCAGCAATTCCCAGAGCAGCTCGCTCTTTTCTCAGGGCTCTGCCCAGCCTGCCAACACTTCCCTGGGATTTGGAAGCAGCAGCTCTCTCGGTGCTACGCTGGGGTCTGCGCTGGGAGGATTTGGGACAGCAGGTATTACAAAAAATTTCTTCATGGAAAGGGTGGTCAGGCGTTGGAACAGGCTGCCCAGGGAGGTGAGGAGTCCCCATCCCTGGAGGGCTTCAAAAAACGGGCAGAGGTGGCACTTGGGGACATGGTTTAGTGGGCATGGGGGTGTTGGGTTGATGGTTGGACTGATGATCTTAGAGGGCCTTTCCAATCTTAATGATTCCCAGTTTTACTTCATTAAAAAATAATGCAGCCACCAAGCCAGGAAACATGAAATTGCTACTCTGCCCTTAACTGGTTTGGTGGTGGACTTGGTAGCGTAGGTTAATGGTTGGGCTGGATGGTCTTAGAGGTCTTTTCCAACCTAAACGATTCCATGATTCTGTGAGGTAAGAACAGCAGTTTCTTCATGGGAAAAAGGAGAGAAGCGGGTAGCTCCAGATGCAGCTAGTGGGCTTGTGAGCTGCTGGAGCTGGCGCTGCGGCACCGAGCTGCCAAGCCCTCCTCCTCGTCCGTCTGAGGTTAAATGGACGTTTTCCTTTAGGGACTACTTCGGCTTTCAAAACCGGCAGCGCTTCCTGGTGAATCTTCTTTCACTAGTTGATATATTAGAAGTACCAAAGTAATGAATTTGTTTTGTTTTACACGTCATCAGTCGTCCCCTTGTTGCTACAGATTAAGTTTTTTAAACAGCTTTGGATTTCCTTGCCTTTACCCGCACGTGCTCGGTGCAGATGCTGGACTAGCAGGACTTGGCTCCGCAGCGGTGTCCGTCCATGTGCTAACTCTTACCTCAGAATAATGGCTAAGTAACTTCTTGGGATTTTAAAAAAGCTGATCTGAGATGGTTTCCATGCTTTATTCTGGGAATTGTTTCTGTCGTACACCAAAAAAAGTCACTTATTGTGGTTGCAAGAAATGTTACATCCATGGTTTGTTTTGATTTGTTCATTAGGCAGTTGGAGACAAGATTCCCCCCCAGAATAAAACCAAACCAGAAAGATGTCTGTGGGTTGGGGTGGTTTTCCTTAGGTTTGGGTTTTTTTGAAGTAGAACAGTTGTTTTAATTACTGCTTAGTCTCAGAGTTAGTAATTATGTCCTGAGCTTTCCTGCTTTCATCAGTGTGAAGGGCAAGTCAAAACATGCCTTTTGAACCTGCTCCGTCGGAAAAGGCTGAGGGACATACTGCCACTGCATCAAATCACAGTTTTAAATAAAAGTTATTCTAAATATTTTTCTTGAACCCAGCCTGAGAATTTGAACCATCTTGGATTCAGGTAAACACAGCATTCGCTTTTGTCGCTTCAGTTTATTTAACTAATTGAATTCAATTACTCGTTTACTCAACGCCAAGATGCACAAACTTGTTTTCCCTCAATCGATGAATAAAAATGTGCGGCTGTTGCTTCTAGAACTTGTGCGCAGTCATGAAAAATGTTTAGTTCATTACCATTAACAATTTCCCTATTTATTAAACAAGATTTTAATGCAAAATTGATTTTTTTCCTCAAGTTGACGGTGCATTTAAAGAGTTTGTATTTGACTATCAAGGCAACTCTTCAAAAAACCGTTGGGTTTATGTGTTAAATTGAATTCTGATCTCCATCTCAATAAAGCTTGGTGCAAACAGGAGCTGTTTTCTAATATAATGAAAAGTGAGCACAAGGATTTCAAGTAGATGTACACGAAGCTGTACATGCTCTTAAGTAAACAGGAACAGATAAAATCTCATGTTGGATTTGTTTTAGCGCTAATGGCCAAAGAATAAACACTTGTAGGGCGATCTAATATCTTCTGTTAAGCTAAGTGATATGCTTAGGGGAAAAGAGCTTTGAAGTATACAAGCCTTCTGAAGGTTCAGAAGCCACGCGTGAAGCGTTTGTGTCCAAAAGCCTTCGAGTTCGCTGCCGTCTCACTCTGTCGCTTGCTTTTGGTAGGTTGTTACCTTCTTGATCTTTCTGCTTGTAGATTTGTGGAGCTGTGTTTCTCAATGTGTTCTGTTGGTATAAAAACTACAAAACTGTGTGCAGAGGCAGGGTTCAAGCTCATTTTTTTTAAATCGAGGATTTCTGCTTGATCATTACCAGTGTGGTTTTAAGGAGTGCATTTCGTTTGGGCACAGGAAAACAACAGCCTGGTGCGGTGAAGTTGTTCATAGGAGCTGTTGTACTGGCTCTCCCGCCATCCAGTTGTCTCGGGCAGCTTGTTGACATCACACAATTTTTCTCTCTTCCTTTTTTCAGTTGCTAACTCCAACACGGGCAGCGGCTCCAGACTCCCTTACAGGGAGCAGCGACCTGTACAAGAGGACATCCAGCAGTTTGACACCTATAGGACACAGTTTTTATAATGGCCTTGGGTTTTCTTCCTCTCCTGGACCTGTGGGAATGCCTCTGCCCAGCCAAGGACCCGGCCACTCTCAGACTCCGCCACCTTCCTTATCTTCACACGGATCATCCTCAAGTTTAAACCTGGGTAAGAGCCACGGTGCCACTGTCCCAGCCCTGCGGGTCGCTGCTCTGCTCTGCCTTGGCGCAGGGGCGCGGACGCCGCGCTG